CATCAGCTCGTCGGCAACTTGTTCTAATGCAATATTTCGACTGAGAATGTAGCCATAAAAAGAAAAAAGAGTTGTTGACGTGATATTCAAACTTGACGATCCCCTACTCGTCGGTGTCCTCGCGCAGCAGAATCGACGCAATCAACTTGAGTTTCTTCTCTGTCTACGGCCACACAAAGCAAAAAAGCGCTCTCAGCCTCCATGTGCGCCTGTATTCAGCCATCGTACGAGCACACAAATGCTGCACGAACCCGGATTGTGTTCCCGCAGGCTGCGGGAGAGTTTGGCTCTCCGTGGCCTCAAAGTGTGCGTGGGAGACGGCGTGGCGCTCCTGCAGCCCGCGCATGATTTCTTGCATGATGGTCTCAATCTGTCCGAACGTTTCTGCCACGACACAAGCACGAGACAGCAGCGCCACCGCCACCATCGTCATCATCCACGTTAGTTTACCGCCGCGCTGCTGTCCCCGATCCCATGCATTGCCCGCTTCACAGCGGCAAATGCAGCACCTTCCACCAGCGTCTCTACTCGCTCCTCTTGCTCGCGTTTCCGCTTCCTCAGCGTCTCCAAATGGCCATAGCACTTGGCCACGTATGGTGTCAGCTCTTCGCTGCCCCCAGCGACGTCCTCTTTGCTCGAAAGAGGCGCGTGCTCCCTCCTCCTCCTCTTCCTCGTCCTCGTCCTCGTCCTCGCGGCGATTCCTCGTTGAGTGGCGCATCGCGAACCGCTGCTCCTCGTCGTCCTCCTCTTCGCCTTCCGTTGCGACGTTATCGCCGCTTGACGACGTCCCGTCCTCGCTCTCCTGCACAGCACCGAGTGGTTACGTAAGCTCACGAGAGCATTGACAGACAGTAAGCAACGACGCAACGCGCGCTCGCTCGCTCGCTCTCTCTCTCTCTGATAGACTCACGCGGATCGGCGTCATGCCGTGCTGCTTTCCCCTTAGCCATCTTGCGGATCTGTTTGCTTTTGTGCGCGTTGGTTGCACTTGCAAAGGAAAGCAAAAGGCAAAGTGGCAAAGGCGCGTCGAAAAGGAAACCAAACGACCATCATTCTGCCAACTTCAACCTGACAATGCGACGGACGCGACGGTGTCGATAGGGGTCCACGATGCTGATAAGTGCTTTTTTGGTTTGGAAGCTCGTCCCTTGTAAAGCATATCGTTAGTCTCCACGTTTTCCACCTCGTTCGTCGAGTGTCGTAGAAAAGCGATGTACACAAAAGTATCGCACTCTTGTTCTCCTCCTGACGTGACGATTGCGAGCGTCTGCAGCTCCGTCTTCCAGCAGAGTCTGGTGGAAAGTCAGATGCAGTGATTGTCGTGTCGCTCGAGACCACATACTGAGCGAAGACGCTAAGGCAGCTTCCGTGTCGTCTCGTAGAGCAATTGTACCTTTGCATGGTGCGAGTTCCAAGTGAGCGCAGTGTGCTGCTAAGGACCAGTCCGGGCCATCTCTGATGTAGACTTGTCAAGTGCGAGGCCGAATTGGTCAGCCCTTACCAAGTGGCACTACACGCGATGCCAAACTGTTTCGTGCACATTGTAGCACCTGCCCAAATTGGTTCAATGCTTGCTGCAAGATGTACCAGAAGCAAGCTCCATCGTGGGCAGAGTCGCAAAAAGCTCATCCAAGTGGGTTTGCCAGGTCAATGTGAGATGGTTGCGAGCATCGCATCCAGCAGCAACGGGCCGGATGTGTCCATATGTCGTGATCGCCTCGTCAAAGAGCAGCTGTTTTACCCACACGACCAGCCAAAAAGCACTAGAAAAGAAGCGTTGCGACACAGAGGGCAACGATTCCTTTTTTCTGCTTTTTATCAATTCTTTTATTTATTCTGCAGACGCTCACAGGTTTCCTCACGCGCAGCGACCAAACCCATCTTTCGGCTGTACACGTTGTTCGCCAATCAGTCCACTGCTGATACTGTTGCAGCTGCTGTCCGGTCAAGCACACATCATGCCTCCTTGTTCACGTCCGAGCGACGCTCCAAGTACAGTCGCAGCTCTTCCACTTCTTCCAGGTCCCGGTGGTATTTGTTCTGCAGATAACTGCCCAGTCCAGCACCGATGCCCATGTACAGCACGTGCTCCCACGGATCTGCGTTGGAGAAGCAGCAGCACGAATAGAAAAATGACGAAAATAAAAAGTCGCGTGAGTCTCTCGTCGAAAAAAGCAGCTTTCTATACAACGTGAGATCGACAGTCGAGTAGCGTCATCAAGTGGCTGCACTCGAGCGATGTGCGAGACAACACACGCGATCATTCACGTACGGCGCATGTACGGGACCTTCTGCAGCACGTTGCTGCCGAGTTTCGTGGAGAGGCCCATGACAGTCCCTACGGCGAGACCCGTGACGCCCATTCTCGTTTGCTTTTTATAGTCTCAGTCGTTCGTGGACTCGTTGAGGCGCGGGGCGTGGGGTGCGCGGACCGTTTGGTGTGTGTTGATTGGTCGATATTCCCCATTGCATCCGGTCCATCATCGCGTGTCGACGGTTGGTCCAGACGCAAAAGCCGCAACAGGTCAACACACCAGTGGCGCTCTTCGACCGACGGTGGCATCCCCCGCCCGCCCGCCCGCCCTTCCCTCCTACTCCCTCCTACTCTCTCTCTCCCCCTCATCGCGTGTACGTGACGCCAACAATGAGCGACGCCGAAGGAAGCAGCAAGAAGCGCAGCGCGAGCACGTACGAAGAGCGCATAAAGCACGTGTCGGTGATTGCCAAGCCATTGGCGACGAAAAAGCAGACCAAACGTGCGTATAAAGTGCTGAAGAAAGCCACAAAGGTCAAAGGCATTCGACGTGGCGTCAAGGAAGTCGTCAAGAGCATCCGAAAGGGCGAGAAGGGCGTGTGTGTGATTGCGGGCGATATCTCGCCGATTGACGTGATCTCGCACATCCCGACGCTGTGCGAGGAGAACGACATTCCCTACATCTTTACCCCTTCCAAGGTGTGTAGGAAGGCGTTGCTTGTGGGATGGAGCTGAGCTGTACGTGGGCACAGCGACTGACTGTCTTGTTCCGTTTCTATTCTGCTGCACAGGTGGATCTGGGCGCGTCGGCGTTGTCCAAGCGGCCTACTAGCTGCATATTGATCACACCCAACAAGGCGGGCTTCAATGTGCAGGAAGCGTACAATGAGCTGCTTGAAGACGTCCAGCAGGTGCAGCCAACGTATTAGCGCGAGAGGTGGATAGTCGTCAGCCAGTGCAGTCAACTTGGTAGCTTGCATAGATACGTATATATATATGTGCGTCGCTCACTGTCATGGGTCTAGTGTTGTCAGTCGTGTCGTGCATAAAGTGACGAGCAGCGGCGCATGGGAGTCAGTCCTCACTGCGTTGCCAAGCATCCTGAGTGAGGCCTGCAGGGTCGACGAATCGTGACGGCATCGATCCACGTGCACCCTACCGAGCACGCAAAACGTACCGTATGAGCAACAAACACGAAGACGACCGCTGTTGCCAGCCCATGCACGGTGATTGCAAGCAAGCCTCGCTGTCATACCCCCCGAACCAACGACTGCGACGGCCGTGTACTCGCCTCAGAACAAGTCGTCAAAAATCGCGTGTGCGAGGCCCTCCCAGGTCGCACTTCGTGCTGCTCGAGGGAAGTAGTGAAACAGCCCCTTGGCTGAATGACTCGGATGCAGTAGGACCAACTGCAGAAAGCGCTCCCGGAGACACCGCCGTTGCAGTGTGCTGCTGCTCTGCTTCTCTCGATCGATGTATTTTTGCCAGTACGCCGACGCCAGCGTTATCTTCCACAGCTCGCGGTCACAATGCTAACGAACATGATGTACATGCAGTATCTCGCCAGTCAGCAAAGCGCACGAGGTTACAGCAGCAAGTACCACGTACCAGTGCAGCGAAGAAGACAGCGACGAGGTCGTACAATGGATCGCCCGTTTTCGCGTCTGCGAAGTCGATCACGGACGTTGGCATCCACTCATGTGGCCCAGCAAACTTCTCCTTGCGCTTTGCTTCAATGGCTGCCTGTCCGACGGGCGTCGTGACGTCTATCTCACTCTCCTCTTCACCACTACTGCTACTACTTCCACTGCTGGTCTCCCATTCCTCTTCGGTACTACAGCCGCCATTGCTCGCGCCAACTTCGGTTTCCATCACACGAGCATGCGTGGCAGTGAGCTGCTTCCCGTGAAGAATCGCAACACGGGGTCCCAGAGGAATACCCAGCTCTTTTAGATGGGCTTCATCAAGCAGGCTCAGCGACTCTAACGTGACTTTCTCTTGTTCCACAAGAAGCGCAATGTACTTCTCACACCCGATGGACGTCAAGAACGACGACAGATCACCAGTCGCCTGGGCCTTCTCCATGCTCGACACGGCCTCATTTCTCGGCTTTCGGTCCACTTCAGATCCAAGAATGTTTTCGTCTGTCAAATCACCGTGCAGTAGCACGGGCCCAATCTCCGAGAAGTTTGCTGGAAGCAGCTGCGAGACGACTGCATCGTGGCTTGCTGCAGGCAGAAAGTCTTCAAGCGACTTCTGTAAGTGTGAAGGAAGGCTGCTCTCGACCAGGTGGACTACAAAGCAACAACAGAGTCAATGACCGCAAAATATCTTCTCATAACGCGTAGTACAATCTGCATGACGATACACATCGACTCACATGACACGGCGCGCTTTCTTCGATGCAGCATGTAATGTATGTACCAGTCCCACTCAGCTTTGCTGTGTCCGTAAATTCCTCGATGTTCTGGGTCAATGGGAACTGAGTGCAACTTCGGCAAGAACTCCCGACTGATCCAAGCAGCCACTTTGTTCCAGCTATTGCGAGTAGCACCGCCCTTTTTCGTAATTACGTCGAGACCAACACTGCTGTGCTTGTACTCGATTATGAGATACGGCCACCGCCACATCAACCCTTCGCCTTCGTTATCGTCCACCTCGTCCGGATAGAGAAGGTGACCAGAGTAATGCAAACGAGGGGTCATTGATTGGAGCGACCGGTGCAAAGGGTTCACGCGCGCTGCTCGATCAAGCAGTTGGTACACAGTCCTCTCAACGCGGAAACAATCCTCCATTGCGTATCGTAGGGACATCGCGTTCTTCAACTCGTGCGACTGTATGACGTTGTGCTTACGACGCTTTGGCGGATGCAACAACCCGTTGTCAGTCGAGTCAAACTTTGGAGTCAAGTATGTCTCAAAGTCAAACTCGCCCCAGCTTTCGTTGTACTGGCTAAAGAACTTCACCAGCAAACGCTTTCCAACCGCAAATGCCGGGTTCACGCGCGAGGTAAGACTCTTCATTGCGGGATACTTCACTTTTTCAACGACATTCCTACTGGTATCCAGCACAGCTAACGCCTTGTGGCGCTTGAGGATTCTCTTTAATTGAGGCTTCCAATGCTTCAAGATGCAGAACGACTGCTGGAACGCATCTTCGCTCAAGTATCCGCTCATACGAGGGATCTGAACAAGGCGAAACATGTCAAACGTCTCCGGCCGCGTTTTCCTGAGCTCGTGCTGTAGTACCGCCAGCGCTTCGTCTTGACCATCGTCGATCATATCCTTCATAAACATGAATACGTTGTGCGAATCCACCATGTTCTGGGTGACTGCGATCGTCATGTCCAGATTGAGAACGAGGTGCCACCAGCCGTTGGGTACGTAAATCGTCTCACCCTCTTCTTGGATGATTTCGAGCGGTTTTTGGTCAGGTGTGAGAGTAGGGTACACGTGCAAATACCACATGAGTGACGGCATGCCCACGCCACTATCGCCATCCTTGCTGGCATTCACACCTGGTGGTACTGTATCGGGAGGATAGATCGCCCACCGCTTTCGCCCCTTGACAAGCGCGTTCCACGCAGACGTTCTCGCCGGATCTTGGTGCCATGGAGCGCCGGTCCGCTGCGGTCCAATGACAATCCAGCGGAACTCGGGTCGTGCTGAACCAACAAAGCGCTTTTTCTTTGTACTCTTTCGGACCTTTTTGCCTCCAACTTCCACGTTTACGTCTGTGGAAGGCGTCTTATTCCCATCGATCGCCTTTGGATCGGCACTGACGCTCAGGAAATCTTCCTCAAACACCTTCAAGTCTTCAATTCTGTATTCCTCAAGCATCGAAGGCATCTTCTCTCCAAACTGTGCGTCAAAAATATACAACGGCGTCTCGTCATGTTGGTGGCTGGCGTACTGGATGTAGTCAGCAAAGCTCATTTCCATCGTAGCACTGCTGGAGACGATATCCAGGTTGTGCGTGATGCGATGCTTCACGTCGCTCAAAAATCTTTCACTCAGTTTTTCCATTGTCCACTTGAACAACAAAAGAAAGCAAGAAAGAGGAAGCCCCGTCAGTCACATCCGATCTAGCCGCCCAGTGACTACCGCTTTTCCCGTCTCTCCCACCTCCTTCGACGCCTTCCACTCGACCAGTGCATTGCAAATGATGAACGGCACTCTCGAATGTTGCCTAGCCGCAAAACAAACACCAACCACAAACACGACAAAAGCGTCATCTTCCAGCCGTGTCGACAGACATTGACGCTGCAACGTCAACACGCACTCGTAAAAGTCCCGGAAAGTCAGATCTTGCACGTCAATCTTCTGCAAACGACGGATCGTCGGGTCCTGCTCCTCACTACGTAGCTGAAAAGCATCGCCAAGCTCCATATGACAGCGACACCAACGCCGGTACAAAAAGTCCGAGCTGAAGTTCCTCACGACCACTGGACGAAACGCTTTGTCCAGGTGTGCGAGAGGCCGTGGGTCTCTCGGGTAGAAAGTCGTGAGCTTCCAGTTGTGATAGAACGAAAAGTTTCCATTGTGGAGACGCAGACACTGCGTCATCCAGAGCGGATCTTCCTGGCAAAACACATAGAAAACTGCAGACCAACAACAACAACAACAACAAACAGACGAATGAGGTAAACGACGAGTGGGTTGTAGACTGACGTGGACGAGCGAGCACCGGAATTGACGTGCGACAGCTGCAGTAGATCGAGCGGTTCAAAGAACAGCGTGAAGTACGCGATCAGCTCGTCAGACAAACCAGCAAAGACGCTGCCTGCGAGCGCCGAGTGCGTCAACATGGGTCCGCGGCGGACTGAGGTGGCTACACTGCGGCAAATCGATCCATTTGTACCAATCAGAGAAGTGCATTGAAATGTACGGGCGACGATGGATACACTGTATGAGTGTATAGGACAACGCCTCACGCAACTGTTACAAATGCTGCTGGAGAGGGCGGAGTGGTGGCCCACACTATTTTCGGCACGTCCGAAATGCATCCACCCGCTTGGTCGTATCTCGGCAGCACGCAAAACATCGATTATCCAGATATTGCTGCGAGTCGGGCAGCCGACTGCTCTCGTTGTCCTGGCAGTCACCGCTGAGCCTAGAAATGTTCCTCGTCGTGAAGTCCACGTAACCCCACTCGCTCACATTGTACCCAGCAACTGAAGTAACAACACGCTGCTGTCTGCGCTCCTCGGCACTGCAACTGCTTCGGGTGCACTCTGTTGACGACGCTACGGACGACGCACGTGCACAACAGCGCGATGCAGACGCCACCATACTGCCAACTCGAAGACCTGACGCCGTTCGCGAGCTGTCACCTCTGGAAGCTCATGACGTCGTTTTATGACCGCCAGGGCGTCGCGTCGTGGGCGCGAGGCATTGTGCCGCACTTTGTCACGTCCAATGCGTTCATTGCCAAGCGCTACAGCAAGGTGCTGGAGAGTTACTTCAGAGACGCCGTGGCGCCCGGCTCAGCGACGCCGGTGGACGTTACCCAGCCCTTTTACATTGTTGAACTTGGTGCGGGGTCGGGTAAATTCAGCTTTTACTTTATCAAGACACTTGTTCATGCCAACGTAAGTGATTGCTACTTCAGGAGTCTTTCATCACCATGTTTGCGACGCAACAAGTCACACGCTGATAATCATCATCATTATTATTATTATTATTATTATCATCATCATTATCTTCCTCGTCAGATACGGTCCGAGTGCACCAACTAACTGCAAAGTGGATCTCGTGTTTGACTGCAGACAGTCCTGGACATGCCGTTGAGTAACATTCGCTACGTCATGACCGACTTCACGGAGCAGAACTTGCACTTTTGGAAGACACATCCAGCGTTCGTGCCATTCGTCAAGAGCGGACTCGTGGACTTTGCCATTTTTGACGCGACTACGGACTCGGAGCTGCGTCTGCACTTGTCTGGACATGTCATTCGCCCCGGCGAGCTGCGCAATCCAATCTGCGTGATTGCAAATTATCTGTTCGACACACTTTGCCATGACCTTTTCCAAGTGGACAGAGGTGTGCTGAAACAAGGTCTGGTGCGTGTCGGCTCGACGCGCGCTGAAGAGCCTGACCCGCTGGACCCTGAGATTGTCAAGCGCATGCGTAACATCTTCAAGTACGAGCAGATTGACGAAACGTACTACGGAGGGACGAAGCCACATCACAACAATATGCTAATGTGGTACCACGAGTATTATGATCCTGCATCGTCAGGTGCTACAATTTTGGTGCCCGTTGGAGCCCTGTCAGCTATCGAGCGCCTTGCAGTGCTATCACTGAATGGACTTGTGCTGCTTTCAGGTGACAAGGGGAACAGCAACCCGGACCGGTTTCGAGGGATCAGTGACCCACAGATTGCCGTCCATGGCAGCTTCTCCATCATGGTAAACTATCATGCGATTAGTGTGTATTTTGCGAGCCGCGGCGGGTTCGCGTTGCACAGCTCACAGGAAGAAGCCAGCCTCAAGGTGTCTGTGTTCGTGCTTCCGGCAAACGCTGCTAGTGAAGATAAAGACGGCGACATACCGATGGTGGAACTGTACGACAGTGGACTGCATGAAACTTGCGAGAGGCGGAGTCTTCAGTTTCCACATCTTTCGACAGCATTTGAGGACCAGATCGTGTCATTCGGACCGAATGACTTTTTCGTGATGCAAAAAGCTGCTTACGAAGACGCGGACACTCTGTCGCTCCGGGCTGTATTGTCATTGATGCGACTGAGCGAATGGGACCCGGACGTGTTGTATAAGTTTCACGATGTCTTGTTACATCGATTGCCAAGCGCCACTGCCGAACTGAAGCAAGACGTGATGCACGGCATTTCGCAGGTCTGGAGTAACTACTATGCACTGGACAACGGAAAGGATATCGCCTTTGCGATCGGTCGTATCTGCTACGGTTTGCACGAGTATGACAGCGCTTTAGCTTATTATGCCCTCTCTGCGCAGGAAATGGGCAAGCACTATGTCACGAGTCACAACATGGGGTTGTGCCATTACAGTAAGAAGCAACTGGGGTTGGCAGCAACGTGCTTTGAGGAAGCGTGTGCACTCAACCGTTCTTACGGCAAGGCATCTATTTGGCTTGAGCGCGTGCGTCAAGAGATTGGTGCTGTACTAGTTGGTGGCGTTTCTGCGGTACCCACTCAGCCTGTGGTGCAGCAGTTCACGGGTAGCGCTGCCCACGAACAGGTGCCTCAATCACCTAAACGCCTGGTGGCATAGCTGACCATCGTCTTGACGATGCTCGATGAACTGGATGACAAGAGACGCTTGAACCTACACCTTGTTGGGTTCCTGCAACGAGAACGAGAGTGACGAAACAGCACCAGAAACGTCTGCTGAGAAATCCATCGTCGCAATCGCAAGTTGACATGCGTGGTTCTCACAATCTTGCAGAAGGCACTTTGGGCATATGATGGTACAGCAAGACATGCTACAGCAGCCGCAGCAGGGCCATGTTGTACCCAGGTGCTACGCCGCTATGACCGTACCGTACTTTGAACAGCAACTTCTTGCACTGCGCGTATACTCCCGCCATTATCGCAAACTCTTCGCCGTGTAGTGTGCTATTGCTGCACTACGCTCAAGTGGAAACATAACACGATGACCACCGACGTCGATCGACGCGAGCGAGAGATCGACATTCGGTGCTCTTACGGTAAAGCGTTGCTCGACGCTGCTCCTATCTACTTGCTGTATACGGAGCTGTACAACAGCGGCGCTGGCACCTTCAGTTCAAAGCTGACCATTCACTTGGACTGGATAGAATTGGCATCGCCCGTGATCTGCCAAGCAATCATCTTGCGGTCGTTGCCAGTGGAGAAGAACGTATTGCTTGGACCGGTGGTAATGCGCCGCACAGCATCATGGTGACCTTGATTGAGATCGGCGCCCAATGTCGTCTTGTACGCAAACGACGGCAGCTCTTTCACAGAGATCGTGCCATCCTGGACAAAAAGCAGCAAAAGGACAAGTTCAGACACTGGGCATGAGGCACACGGAAGTGTGACAGCAGCAACGTACCGCCATGCCAATAAGAAGGATCGGGGCTTGTGCAGTGTCCTGCGTACCGCACAATGCCGTCACCTGCGAGTCCTGCGTTTCTTTAAACAGCTGCTGGAACGGCGGCGTGAGGCCCCAGACAATGATCTCGGCGTCCAGGCCGCCACTGATGAGGAACGTCTCGTTCTGGTTCACCCAAAACTCGAGATCCATGACGGCATCCGTGTGGCCATTATCTTCAGCAGCAAGCACTTTCACGCACTGGTACGTGGCCAAGTCCCAAAGCCGAATCGTCGAGTCGACGCTCGCTGACGCCAAGATCGGCACGCCGCCCACGGCAAATGTCTTGAGTCGCGTCACGCCTCGCACGTGGCCGTCCATGACCCCGCCGCACTTGAACTGGTTGCTCGATGTGTCCATCTGCCAGTACCGGATGCAGCCATCAGCACCCCCGCTGAACAGCGTGGCGTTGCCCGTCCTGTCGGTCGCCACAGCCAGTGCTTGGACGCTCATTGTGTGGGCAAATGGCAGACTCTCGGACGCTACGAACTCGAACGGAGGCGCTTGAGCGTTCTCGAGGTTCCATCCCCTGACCATTCCGATCGACACCTTCGGATTCGGTCGAAAGCAGCCGGCAAAGCCTGCGAAGAGGAACGGGCCACACAGCACGAGCGCCATGACGCCGTCCGAATGCGCATCGCGCGACGAAGAGCTTCGAGCTCCTCCAGACGTACTGTGTCTGCTGTTATTGTGCGTCGAATGACTACCACCGCTGCTGCTGCCGGAGGTCGTGGTAGTCATACCGCCGAGAATACCGGTACTGGACGGAGGGTGCGCGTCCTGGACACTGATCGTCGTGACCTCCTGCCACGTCGCGCAGTCCCAGAGCTTGATGCTCGCGTCGGCCGAGCACGTAAAGAGCTGCTGGCGCTCGGGCCACATGACCACGTCTTTGATTGCGCCGCTGTGGCCGCGTGTCATTCCAATTGTCCGCACAAAGTGCGGATACCGACACGGCCGCCCGCCCGATGTCTGCTCGAACTCGCACTTGCCGCTGTCCATGTACCGTCGACAGACCTCGTTGCCGATTGAGGACGCACTGTGGTAGCCGCCGCGCCCGCCACTGCTGTAGCTGCTCCGGTTGCCGCCGCGATTGCCGCCGCGCCCGCGACTGCGGCCGCCGAAACCTCCGCGTCGATTGTAGCTCATGTCGCCGGACGGACACTCGGGCACTCGGACACACGTCGGTGCCGACTTTGTGGTGCTTGTTGGCGGTAATACCGGTATGAGCACGTGCACCGGGGAGTATTCGTGTGGCGCAAGTTAGATAGCCCTAGTCTCAGTCCAGCCCTAGTCTCAGTCCAGCCCTAGTCTCGGTCAAGCCCTAGTCGTGGTCCAGCCCTAGTCTCAGTCCAGCCCCAGTCTTAGTCCAGTCCGAGTCTTAGTCCAGCCCTAGTCTCGGTCCAGCCCTGATTTCGGTCAATGGCGTGGAGCCGAGAGTACAAAGTGGACGTAGCTGTTTGCAGTGGCGCTATCGTTCGAGACGCTCTATTTTAAGTTGAGAAGTAACGGTAATGGTGTAAAGACAGAGGTCGATTCGCAACGCCTTCTCCTTCTTCTTTACTGGTGAAGCTGCATAGGTAATGTTTACATAGCGATGCACTGTGAGCGAAAAGACGAAAAGGCTCTTGTTCAGGCTGGTGTGCTCAAGCTGCGGTCTTTATATGTGTGGTTGTCAAAGCAAACTGTCGCTGCGTCCGTCTGTACTCGCACCAGGAGCGAATGCGAATGCGGATAGTCGATTATGACGATCGTCTCGAGCTTCAAGGATCGACTGCAGGTGGTGGTGCACTGACTCGCTGGCTTTGATCGAATGGTGTCTACCGCATGTCTCCCTGCTCGGGAGAAACGGCAAACATCTTCTCAGGTTGGTCGATTCATCTAAATCACGTGTTTTGACCCGCGTGTAGACAAGCGCGTCAAGTGCCCGGCGCGTGTAGCATACAATAAGCTACGGCCACGCAGTCGTTCATGTTTGCAGTACAAAGCGGCGCAATTGCTCAGCTCGATACCCTGCGCATCTTTCGTCTCACAGAAAAGGTAACTGCGGACTGGAGATGTGTTATGCTGTCATCCTCCATCTATCTCTCGCCCGTTCGAGATCTTCTCTTGTTCACTTCCTCGGCATCACTGGTCACGAGTGCCTAAGTCATCACTCGTATCGCTAGTTCTGCGACAAACAGCAGCTGGACAACAAACACCCACTCCACAGGCGACGACACTGTCCATGCGGCCTCCGATACTCATACTAGTACAACAAGTTGGAAGCACACGCACCTTCACCAACCTCCCTCGTCGGTCTCTTATCATACATGTAGCAATTAACCTGCCCACATGTAGGCCCCAGCGCCACCCATCGCTCAACCGGCATCTCCTGGTCGCGCATACATACGTTCAGATGCACGCACGCACGCACGCACGAAAACAAACAAACAAACATGTCGCTTCACAGTGGCACAAACGCAGAGTTTTTGTATTACTTATTCACAAACATGTCGTCCGTACCGTACCGCATCGCGAGCGATCGTCGAGTGTAGCAGTAGTAGCAGTAGCAGTAGCAGTAGTAGTAGTTGTAGTGAGAGGATGATGACTTGACAAGCTACAGCGCCGTTCGATTGAAGTACACTGCGTCTTGGAACTCGGCGTCGCAGTACGGGAACAGCGCGTCCGAGTCGGACGGATAAAACAAATTCTTGCCAGCAGTGTACGTCGAATAGCAGCCGAGGACCGTGCACACGACAATGACGACGCCGGCCCCCACCTTCTCGTACATTGGGACGGTCTGCCACGTCTTCATGAGGTAGAAAATCGTCGGCAACACAATGCAATTGGCCGTGATGGCCGACGCGCCCACAAAGTCGACAAAGTCGGAAAAGTGGTCGGCAAAGATAATGGACAGCACCACGAGCACGACAATGATCGCGAGGCGCAGCACAATGTACTTGATCGCGTTCGCGCCGCGGTACTCGGCCGCTTCGAGCTCGTGGTCGTTGTTGAGCTCGCCCGTGAGCGGGAACACGGACGTCCGCAGGCGACGACTGGACGTGGCGCTCACTGCGGACACTTCGCTCGTCTTGGGCAGCCCCGGGGTCCCGGATTCGTGAAACGCCAAGCCGGTTTCCACCTCGACCGCCCTCTTCTCGTGCATGCCGAGCACGAGGCGCTCGGCAATGTAGAACGCCGGGTTAATGAGCACGGCGAAGGCGATCGTGACGTGCATTTGCATGGCAATGTACGCGAGCACGACAGTGCCCCACTTGGGGGCAAAGCCCAAGAGCGTCAGCCCCGTGCTCGCGTCCGGGTAGATAATGTACAGCAAGTTGCCCGAGATTTGGCACCCCACGCCCAAGTACGGCACGAGGCCGAGCACGAGGAGGATGCACATGACAAAGATCATTGTGGCCACAACGACCCGCGGGACGCGCGTCGGGTCGCTGTGTTGGCGCTGGACGTCCGACAGGACAATGCCCGCGCCAAAGCCCATTGCGAGACTGCCAAAGGCGCCCGCGACTTGAGGCAGACTCAGCTCGGGCGGCGGCACCGACGGGTGGTCGCGCATGCCGTGCGCGACAATGGCAATGCCCAACCCGTCGGCAATGAGCGTACCCATACAGCCCGCGAACGCGGCCCCGGCGCCTTCTTTCAGCGTCGGGACTAACGCCAGCGGGAGCACTGTGATCGTCATGAGGATGATCCACACGGTGGTGCTCCATGCGTTGGGGAAGAGCCGGTCGAGCAGACCGCCGCCGAGCACGAGGAAGACACAGGGCATGAGGAGGCACGAGCCCATTTGGGACACGACGCTGAGCCAGCGACCCGTTTTGCCCAGGCACCACTCGCCCAAGTCACTGAAGGTATTCACGGAGCTCGGAGCGAGTAGCAACACTTTGGACATGGCCACGGACGCGTAAATGTTAGCGAGCGCCATGAAGACAGTCGCGAGTGCGCCGAGCACGGGACCGGCGCGGGCAAAGTTGGCCGGCATGCTGAGCGTCCCGACGCCGCACATGCAGCAAAAGAGGCTGAAGGAGATCTTTGCATCTTCGAGCGTGAAGAAGGGCCGTTTGACCATTGGAAACGGGGCGAGTGACTGGACGAGGGGGTACTGTACTTGCTGTTGATGTTGATGTTGTTGATGTTGTTGATGTTGTTGATGTTGTTGCTGTGGGTGGGTCGAGGGTGGCGGAGAGCTCGCGAATTGCCAAATGGCAAGCGGTGGACCCGTTGCAGCGCGGCGAATGGAGCGAGTTTGCGCTCAGCTCGTCGTGATTGCTCCCTCGTCCGCGCATGCCGCATGGACGAGGAGGAAATTTGGCGCACAGGGCAGGAGGAGGACCTGGTCTGGATACGGCACCGGGTGACGGATCGGAACCAGAGAAATCGACGTGCAGAGACGGCGTTGACGCGATGGGCGCTGGCAAAGGGGTTGTTGGCAGCGCTGCCAAAGGGGTTGTTGGCAGCGCTGCCCTGGTCAGGGGCTGCTGCAGACGGCCCGTTGTTGCTTTGCATGCAGAGACTATGCGAACGAACGAACGTCTGCCGCGAGAAACGGCGACGTACGTAGTAGTTTATCATCCAGTGAAGCGTGACAATGGATCATGTACGATGCAACCCGCTGTTTCAGTGGATTCTTCCGTCTGCACGACATGATTCCCACACAGTCTGTGCAGCACTCAGCTGGAGGAGATGCGTGAGACGTGTAGTGGACGCGACGAGGGATCCGATACCGAGCGAGAGTTGGGGCATTGGACGCCTCGGAAGTTTCTGTCGACCAACGGCTGCGACTGTTAATACCGTCTCGAAACGCGGATAGCCCAAAGGTTCGTTCAGGTGGAGAAGACCCCCCCGTAAGCTGAAGGAATTTCACTTCGAAAGAGGAGACAGTGCGGTGTTAACAAAGCGCAGAAGTCGTCGACCATATGAGGAGACGCCACTTCGATATCGGTGCACGAGACGATAGCAGTTGGCTACCAAACAGTCCGTCAGACGAGTTGAAGTGTTCGTCTAAACAACCAGAGAGCCGGTTCTGTTTAGACTCGCAGCGTCAAAGCCGGTGTGCCGAACCGACTATCCCAATGGCCATCAGCTTCTGCTTTCTCAAAGGAGATGCGTCGACGCTGCAGGGCAGACAACGACGTTGTGGTACGATACCGGTCGCCGATGCAGCTCTTGCAGAGCGGTCACGTTTGTTACGCACAAGACGTGCTCGATCGCATGGCAATGCGCATCTGCAGGTACACGTTAGCTTGTCAATGGCTCCGCGTAGATCGCTCTTTTTGTCCCTGTAAGCTCAAAGTTAGGACCAACTTTGGCCCCAGAGATCGTCCAGTGCATGAGGAACTTCCCCGTACACCGCACGGGCAACTCCGAGTGTCGATTCCAGGAGAGTCAGCTCGAAGCCCCACGTCTAAAAAAGCATTGAGGAAGGATGTAAGTGCGCCCGGGCCGCATATCGCGGCTAGTCACCGTGCAGAGCGAATCCTGGCAAGCCAAGCCCGGCCAAGCTGCTTTTGCGTCGAGGTTCCTGGTCTCACCGCGACGATGGCGTGCTCTGCTGTGTCCATTTTCTGGCTCGGCCAACCGGCTCAGTCGCGCGGATGAAGGCGTTTTGTGCACCATTACATCCGCGTGTTGCCATTCCGCAAGGAGTGAGACGTTGCAGTTCGTCCTCGACGTTGCAGTTACGCATGCGATAAGGAGGCTGAGGCCACCAACAGACCAGAGCATGGCCTGCCGAACCGCAAATCGATTGCAACGAGATGTCGGATGCAGTTGAGCGAGAAAATCTCAGCAAAGGCCGTATTTCGTGCCTTGCGCCTCTCCTGTGGGATATATTGTGGTGAAAACGTCTCATTTCGACAGTGTCCGCATGATCTGTTCGTATCTGATCCATCGAGTGACTGACTGCTGCGCGAAAAAAGTGTGTCTGCCCTCTCAGGAGCCACTGACATTGTGTCAGAGACACACCGTAACCCAAGAGAAGGTACGAGACGTTGATCGTCCGTCTGGTTCCATTTCATGTGGCGCTGCATGGGCGCTATGACTTTGTAGACACAACGCGTCTACTCGTGTCGGTGAAGACGTTGTCTTCGTCCTGTATCTACTTGTTGCAACAATTACGTCCTCGACCTCCGAAGCCTATACGCTCTTCAACCTCAATCATCAGAGTCGATGTTCAGGCTTTGTCAACGGCGTTCGACCGGTCTGTCATTCCATTGTCGGAATTCGATTCGACTGTCGTGACACAAACACTTCGATGGAAATCTTCGACCGCCGCCCATTTGGCTTTCGCACCGCTTTGCTCAATGGCACAATACAAAGAATGGAATCAAAAGCAGTGGACTCATGACGCTCGTCCGTTCGTGCGCTCGCGCTGACTTTCTGGGTCCGATGATGACTCGAGCACGCTCGAAAAAAGGTTCGCTCGATCAAGCGACGCGCCAAAAGATCGTTATGTACGCGCTTATCCCTTTATGATGTTGTTCCAGTAGCAACGTCACGAGCATTTTCTCTCGTACGCCACGTCCTTATCTTTCGTCGCTGTAGTCGCTTGCAGACGACGGAACGACCAGCGATTCGCCAAGAAGTTGCACGACCATCGTCTTGCTATCGTCCTGTCGACTGTACGCTCGAGTTTCTTTGACCAGGTCGCAGTGGCAGGTCCTATAACTTCACTCTGGTCGTCCAAAAGCGCACTCTGTCCGCCGCTAAGCATAGACGACGATGCGCATACCACAAGTGTGCGGCGTACGGGTTCGATACAAACGCCCGGAGATGGCGCTACGACTACGACTGCTACAGTGCAATCAGAAGAACAACTACTTTGTTTAATACTACTACTACAACTACTACAAGTACTGCATCTACTTCTTCTACCACTACGACATCTACGACATCTACGACTACTGCACAAAGTCGACAGCACAAGTAGTAGCAGTGGTACATTCGTGTCCGACTACCGCTGACAAAGTGCCGCGCCCGTCGAGCAAATGCACACTCAGAACCTCTCAACGATGGGACGCACGCACGGCCCATCGCCACACCATGTTTTAAACCCCTTTTGCTGCATTATATAAACCAATCTGTCGAAAACGAGCTGACCGCCGTCGTCTGGCTTTTTTCCACACGAGGGAACGCGACTGCGTACGCCCTACTTTCCTAGTGACCTCGCGGCCCTTCGATGCAGGTGGCTGCGCCCGAGTTTTCGAGTCTGCACGTTGGCAGCGGCCACTGGAACGCCGACGACCAGGCGCTGCTGGATATACTGCTCTTGGCCGATCCACTCGAGACGCCGTCGCCTGCGCGGCCGGAAGTAACGGCAGCGTGGGGAAAAGGAGCGCGTGGGCAGGACGATGCACTGAAGAGCAAACTGTCGGCCGTCGAGCGCCGCGTGCGGCATCGGGAGGTCGTGAAGCGCGCGTACCACCGCAATAAGGTATGGACACTGCAGCCTCACGACGAGGAAGAAAACACATTTGATCGTTGTCGACGACATGACGACACAGAGTCGTTGGTTTTATTCAGTGTCGTTGTGTGTGTCGTATGAGGCGGTGTGTGTGTTTTTCGATGCGGTGGGACTGTTTTTTTGACCCACACACGTGTTGTTTTGTTTCTTTCGTTTGTTTTTTTTGTGATCTCAAATTTTGGATTCTCGGGAACGTATATGTATGTGTACCGTTGCTATGTTTGTACCCACGTAGGCTGCGCTCAAGGGCTTGCGCGACAAAGTATCGGACCTCGAGCGGCATTTGGAGACGCTGTCGCTGTCCAAGCAGAAGCCCGAGACGGTCGTTGCGGACCACGTGCAGCATCGGCACTATGCAGAGCTCATTTCCGAGCAAGAGGAGCTGGTCAAGGAGACTGCAAAGCTGCAGCTGTTGCTCGACTGCCGGCACCAATTTGCGGCGGATCTCGAGGCAATGGCTCACTGCGCGACGGCCAATTCGCTCGACGAGTCGGACATGTCGGACTCGGACACGGCAACGACGTCGTCGACTGCGTCGATGGCTACACTGTCGCCGTCGTCGTCGCCTGTGCACTGTAATAGTACCTCGAGCCGACCACTGACGACGGTCGCAAGCGGTTGTGGGGTGTCCCCCCTGAGTACGAAACACAAGACCAAGCCGTCGTTCTACAGTGAGCCACGGCCGACCTTGGCGGGTCCGACGGTGACGAGCAAGGCGCCATTGGCAGTGGCTCTACGGAAGCAGCTGGGCTACAAGCCACTGAGCGCTCGCGAGTCAACGGCACTGGTGAACGAGATCTACCGCTCCGTGCTGTCGTTCTCGTTGAGCGGCAAGGCGATAAGCACGGGCGTCAGTATCATGGGCTGGACGGACAAACGGCTGCTGGACGGCACGAAGCTCAAGTTTTCACTGCGCAAGCAGTTTGCTGGACACAACGCGTTGCACCTGATGACAAGCACGTGGCAGTGTTTCTCGGACCCAGAGTGCACAGAGGCCAAGTTCCACGGCCTCATGACGCTGCGTATCCTGCAGCGCGTGGACGATGACACGATCGTAGCGTTGCGCGAGACACAGGGCGAAGACGGCGTGAAGCTCTATCGATGTGTGTATTTATTGTTCCGCGTACGCACTCGGAAGGGGTTTCTCATTTGTGTGCAGTCGGTTGCACCCGAACGCCTCACCGACCCCTCGTTGGCTCGTGTCAGCCGAGATGGCAAACTCGTGCAGTGGACCGAGCTATCCGGTTGGTTTGTCTTCGAGCCTGCCAGTGATTGTGGAGAAAACAGTGGCCCGTTCTTCCAGGAAGGCGCACGGGTCGAGTACGGCGGGTGCATGGACAACGGCGACCACGAATCGGTCGCGTCGCTTGCGATGAACACGTTGTCCATTGTGTTCAAGTGGGAAAGTATGATGGTTGGTCCGACCTTTACCCTGCCGTCGTCAATGTCGTGGTGAAAGAAGAGGCGGCGAGAACAGCCCAGTCGTCCAGTCGCGACCAGCACAGCGTCAGAATGAATGATGCAAAATGTGGACGTGTACCTGCGAGTCGATGCCCGCGTGATTGCAGCATTGTGGCCGACATGAGCGTACAAGGTTTGTGCTGCGTTTGATGTGTATTGTGCTGTATAATCAATTGTCCCTGGCTGCTTTCACGCAGGCGAAGTAACGAAAGAATTGATACCAAGTGATTGTCTAAGATGGATACCGAGTGGTCAAGACGGCAGTTGTCTCGTGAGCTGCTGCTGGTTGATACCATTTGCCATATGGTGCTGCTTCAATGGCTACCTCCTGTCTGCAGTCCAAAGTGTTTGGTCCACAGATTGCCCTGACAGGCTGTTGGCAGTAACAAGCTCCACACACTTCCAAATGATCGACGTCATCCGGATAACCTTCGAGCTACCATCATAGCTCCCCTCTTTCGCTCGCAACGACCTGCTTGCGCCCGTTTCTGTCGATCGGCGCTTTGTACCTATCGAACTGGTCGTTCAAGTAACCGCATGGTCGTCCAATCACCGCACAGTCCATCAGTCTTTGTTGTCTTTTTAGTGGGGTGCCGTCTCGAAAGTGTACGACCAACTGCCGATCAGTTTTGCGACAAGCTCTCTCGAATGGGTTCCCACACCCGCAGTATCGCAGTATCGCTAGTCGCTATTCTGCAACAATGTGCGTGTTCATTCTTTAGGCAGATAACGTCTGCGTAAAAGTCGCTCAGCATTCGTGACAAGTGATACACAGCAGTGTCGCTATAGCTGATGATCGCCAGCTCACACATCAATAACGTCTACGACAGTTTTGCATGTGTATAAATTTGTTTGAGCATACCACAGACGAGAATCAAGTACAGACATGTGGACTCAGACAAAGCAGAAAGCGGCACACAGACATGCACGTAAAGTAAGAACCGCGGGATCTGATCGTGGCCAAGTTATGCTGAAGTTCTGACCAAAGGCAACGAGAGTGCCATGTTTCGAGAAGAAGAGCATGGATGATATTGGGCATGAGGGTGGAAGGAAAAATGAGAGACCTGTAACGGGGTAGTTGGTTACATGAAATTGTCATAACGAAGAAAATGACAATAAAGAATATTACGTTGAATATTCTTTTAACTACATCACAGACATGGTGATATTGTTGGGATGACCGAAGGGTCTACTCATTGGTTGATATCGTGATGATATCATCCCCACCAATCGCTGCTAGACGCGCGCAATGGGTGGTGAGTAGACGTCATCATACATATAGTTATATTAGTATAATAAGTCATGACAACAGAGATTTAAGGAGTTATAGGACTTAATTATATTAATACAGTTTTACTTTTACCAGAGACTAGTCTGACTACTTAGTCTCCTTTCCTTCCTCTGTGTTTCCTTAAAACACCTAGCAGGGCACTGTCGACCACTGTCGTCAGTGGAAGTATACTCCGTACTGGTCAACCAGTACGTAGTCAACAGTGCCCCGTTTCACCTGGTAGCACTTTGTAGTCCGTCCAAGGACCACAACCCCATCGCCCAACATGAACATGTTGGACGATGTAGACGGCGACAGCTTTCACGGAACCCGTGAAAGCTACTCCCATTTGAGCGACATCGAATGGAGTGCGATCGAACGAATGAGTTCGACCGTTCGCGAGGAAGCCATCTGGGCCATGCTATCCTCGAGGGGTAGGAACCAGCGTCATGTCGTCATTAGCAAGTTCTTGCAACGAGAACTTGATGAGTCGCGAGCGCAGGTGACCTTGTTACAACAACAAGATCACCAGCGGACCGAAGCACTGAGACAACAACAGTCTCAGTCCGCAGAGCCGACGCGTGAGCGTCGACGGGAGTCTCTAAAACTAGAGGTCTCCGAATATCGGGGAGTCGAGGAAGACTCCCTGTTGAGGTGGTTCGTCGAGCTGGACAATGCCATCGATGCTCGTCGCATCGATGATGAGCGAATGCAAGTCTCATTCGCTCAGTATAACCTGGCAGGAGAAGCCAGAGCTTGGGCCCTGAACCTCAAGTTGCACGACCCACATGTGTTTGGGTCGTTGAGAATCTTCAAGACCCTGCTCAGTGAGACGTTTGAGCCGCCCAGAGCAGAGTTCAGGACTATTTCGCAGCTCCTGCAAATCATGCAGGGTAAGCGTAAGGTTCACGCTTACGCCCAACATGTACGCTACCTTGCAAGCTGCATGTTAGTGAACCCTGTGAGTGAGTTTGTGTTGATCACAATCTTTATTCAAGGGCTTTCAGACGGTCCCGTTAGGGACCACCTGTTCCGCGGAGAGCTAAAGACGGTCTCAGAGGCAATCTTCGCAGCGGAGCAAGAAGATTATAGCGTGAGACGGTCTCACGCTACGTTGACCCCGCATCATCCACAGAGAAGATTAGCAGTCGGAGGTCCAGAACCAATGGACCTCTGTAATGTCAAGGGCGAGAAACCTCGCCCTGCGAATGACAAGCGAATGGTCAGATGCCATCGCTGTCATAAACTGGGACACCACGCATATGAATGCAGTATCCCCCGCTCAGAACCTCGCGGTGCTGAGCGCAGTATTCACCCACCAGCAAGAAGAACTAGAGGGAGAGGGTCAGTTGCTGTTGCGAAGTCGCAACAGCGAGGTGGACCATCAAAATACGGTCGGGATCAGTAGGGGCGGAGCGCCTTACTGATCCAGCAACATCAATAGAATTTGCAAATCTCCTGATAAAGGTTGCTCCCGACACACAATTTCTGTGTGTCTCTGCACCTGGTGATGAGGTGTCACTCATCACCTTGAAGTTAGAAGTGACAAAAGACTTGTCACTTCGCGCCCTAATTGACTGTGGGGCGTCGAACAATTTTGTTCGTCGCCAGTCGCTGGAGGCAGAAAGTTTTAACTTCGTGGAGCGGGAGATCCCTCCAACGTGTATGACATTGCGCCTAGCGACAGGCGCATCGATCACTGTGAAGAATCGTGTAGTTGGAATCTACTACACGTTAAAAGGCAAACAGTACGATGATGATTTTATCGTGCTTGACCTAGATGACAAGTTCGACGTCATCTTAGAGTTGCCTTGGCTCAGTAAATACGAGCCAAGGGTGAGTTGGCAGTCTCGATTGGTTACATTACCTGCCACTTGTTCCTCAGATAACCACCTGACGTATATCTTGGAACGTCCACACTCACGTGGGTGTACCACGAGTGAGTGCGATGGCCTCACTTGTGGTACGGTCGTTAGCACGACTGTACAAGAACACAATGTAGATGATCACTACATTGTGGAGAAAGCTCTCCTGGACCCTGTGGAAGTGATGTCCCAGGAAGTAATCGAGACATTGAATGTCTTGGTTCATGACGGATCAAGCGTAGGCGCTTACACGCTTGATCTGGTTGTGCCTCCGAAGTTAACTCTGGAGATAACTCAATTGCCGACGCTAAACCCGAAACGGTTCTTGCGTGATCTGCGCAGTGGCAAAGTCAATCAGATCTGTGTACTCGTCGCGGAAGACGAGTACGTTACCGATATTCGATCTGCAACGGTGTTTACTGAGAACGAACGGGTTCTCAGCAGCTCATCGATGGACGAAAGTGTCCTCGATGAGAAGACTCGGATTGAGCGGTACGCGTCCCAATCCTGGGAGTCCCTTCAGGCAAATCCTTTGTATAAGGATTTGATCGAATTCAAGGATGTGTTCCCTGAATCCGTGCCTTGCGAGTTGCCTAAGGACAAAGGCACTCGGCACGAGATCGAGCTCAAACCGGGCTCGAAGTACTGTGTCATGAAGCAGTGGCCACTGCCTCGTGAACAAGTACTAGCGATCGACAAGTTCTTTGCCTATCGCTTAGCAGCGGGCCATGTGAGGGAATCAACATCCCCTCACAGCTCTCCGACCTTCTGTGTGCGAAAGGCCACAGGGGCCGGCGGATAGTGCACGCATTCAACAAGTTGAATGCTGCAACGGTACCGGCTCAGACGCCGATACCAAGAAAGGACGTAATCATAGATGGTATGTCAAAGAGTACCATCTTTTCGTCCATTGATCTGATGGATGGATTCTATCAGATCCTTATGCGTGAACGGAATGTTCCGTACACAGCAGTGAGCACCCCCAGCGGTATGCTGTGGGAGTGGCTAGTGATGCCACAGGGGCTAAGTAATGCCCCTGCAACATGTAACAGATGCGTTACAAATCTGTCGAGACCGGTGCGGGATTTCGCACCAAGTTATTTCGATGATGTGTTGCGTCCTCCCTGATCCCGAAAAGATCAAGGCGATCACCGACTGGACAGTGCCAGTCGATGTCAAGGTACTTCGTAAGTTCCTTGGCTTAGCGGCGTACTTGCACAAGTACTCGCGCAATTACGCCGATATGAATGTTCATCTTTCTTGCTTACTCAAGAAAGATGTGAAGTGGTCATGGAACACTGACTGTCAGCGAACCTTTGAAAGCATCAAGTAAAGCTTGATGCAATCGCCCATCTTGGCGATTGCAGATCAGGACAGACCTTTTCATGTGGTCTGTGACGCCAGCGATTTTGCTATCGGCTGTGCGTTGATGCAGTATGACACAGATGGCGCAGAGCGCGTCATCTGCTATCAATCGCGTTAGCTGCAACCAGCCGAACGCAATTATCCAGTGCATGACAAGGAACTGCTTGCCATGAAATATGCACTGGCTAAGCTCCGGGTCTATCTATTGGGAGATAGACCGTTCATCTTCTATACGGACCATGCGTCACTACGCACGGCCGTAAACAGTCCACACGTCTCGCAAATGATGGCGAGGTGGCTGTCCTTCTTCGCGGAGCATAACTTCTCCGTGGAGTAAAAGCCAGGACGACTCAATGTTGTCGCTGATGCGCTTTCACGCCGGCCCGATTTCGAGCCGGAAGCACAAAATAACAGTGAGGCCTTGCCCACTGTTGCGACACTGTCCATCAGTGTGCCGTCGTCGCCGTTACTCGACGACGTGCGGAAGGCATACGC